CTTATTAGAAGCCCAAAGTTAGGGGCTGGTTTTTGTGTCAATTAAGATCAGGAATATAAACGGGCGATCACCAGCCGCGTTACGGGACCTGTTCATTCCATTATGCGCAAGAGCCCGTGATAGAGCCCAGTAGAAGATCGCAGGGTATCTAGTAGTTCAAGCAGAATCAGATGAGCGAAAAAGTCAAAGGATACCACAGTGGTCATGTTCTGGATTAGTAGCTATCGTGAGCGAGTCTTACCTAAACTCCAGTTTTATGGGTCATGATCCCCAAGCCCGTGTTCTTTGAACATCGAGCGTTAATATGTATATCTTTTTAACATTGAGCTAAAGTTGACAAAATTTTGCAGAACTATTGGTGGAATATGAGATGAATGTCCAGTTTATGGGAGATAGTATTAGCTAGTGTGTTGCAGATGTCACATGAACAAGACCAGTAACCAGTGTCGGGAGTACAGAGCCATTAAATGGCATGGAGAAGAGGGTGCATGCGATTTTCTGGTTGTTTACACATGTCCGCACCAACAACATCCCTGATTGTGAACCAGTGAAATTTTTTTTTGGTGAGCTCATGAAACTAAAACTCTTTCCGCTGACATACATTTCGCAAAGCCACGAAGCCTCGTCGGACAGAATCGTGCGCACAAACGTTACTTGTTTGGGACTGTATTTACCGATCAGGAGCAAAGCTCTAATTTCACTGCATAATTAAAAGGTATCCATCATCTAATATCAAAAAAGAATTTTGAAATGGAAAACTTTTGTTATGGGTCCTCTAAAGTGTCCAAAATATTCCACTAAGGCCCTTCTTTACAGGCATATAATTTCATTAATTTAAAAGGCGGTAAAAGCTCATTAATGAGGACATCCGGTTAAAGGCGCTATATGGACCATAACTAATCTTATGGTCGTCCTAGTGTGTGGATGCCCTAGGCTTAAAATATAGATTTCAAAGACTGCAATCGGAGCAGAAAAACGAATTTTCGGAAGTAGGTACTGGCTTCTGACCGCTTACCGTATATACGAGAGAAATGTTCTGTGTATATTTTGATCGCTAGCGTCAAATGTGACGAAACACCCCTTATTAATCTTAGTATGCATATAGATAGTAGGCTTCCAATGTCAGTAAAATAATAACCGTTTCCTGGTTTGGCTTAAAGATGAAACGCTCTCGGTATTCGTGCTTTTGTACGGCTCTATTAAATAGCGATATGCCATAACGCATAAACAGCTTATTGGTCGCCTCAACAATCTCAAGAGTATGCTTTAGAGAACGTTTGGAAACAGTTATTAATAAATTATTGGGAGAATTACCCTCACTTTACTAGTTATATACTATCGAAGACTGATAATTTCACGTTCAAGCGAGTCATTAAATTGAATCCACGTTTAACTCATGGCAAGTCAAGTGAACCATCGGCCCTAGACTGACAAACGTACACATCAAATGGCATCAAATATGTTAACTTAAAGTTGATATCTACTTTTTGCCTATGATGAACTAGAGAGCAGGTGTTATCCAACGTAAAAACAGTTCTATCAGCAGAAACTAGAGGTTAATTTATTTTGGCATAGTGATCATTACCAAGAAACTGAATGGGTACACGATTACTGTGGAACCGAGTCAGTTACTGGACGCGAAGGCTTTCGTCTGCGAAATTAAAAAAATGCTTTTACACTTCGCAGGTCAAAACCGGATAAACATGCTTTTAGGTTTGCTGCGAACATGTTGCCATGACATATAGAGAACGCCGTGCTTTCACTGGAGTGTGTATCAAAGCCACTCACCGCTTAATGCGAGAAATAATTAAACTTTCGAATCAAACATGTGTCCTTTTACACATGCTTCAAAATTCACTTTTCAGTCGTGTCCGAAATAGTCCATGGAATACGCGCCAATACCTGAAAATCTCATTTTCAATTTCAATATATTTAAGAAAAGGGGCCCAAGGCCCTGAGGAGTCTCTTCAAAGATAGTTCAAGACAGAAAAATAAACTCAAACAGGACGGCGATCCTCGAAAGGAAGTGGGAACCGCTGACTGGTTGAGTAGATGTTGTCATCAAGCGGAGGGAAACCGAAAAGCTAAACAAGTGCGTATATTCGGATGGTTATCATTAAAGATTTTGGAACATTAATAAGTTAATAGCATTGTGAAATTCAATTATTGACGGCGCACCAAGTGTCTCAGTTTAGGATGTCGTACACTTACTGACAAAATACTGCGGTTTCTTAAGAGGGAAAATACCCCTAGATCAGTATCATTGTGAAAACAAGGACATCTATACCTTACTCGGTTCTTACCTCCCCTCTCCTCTTCTGCCATTATAAATTCTGAAGCACGTTAATTTACGTCATGAGCATAGAGCCTAGGTCGTGAAGTAATGATTTCAGAACTATAGTGAATTCCCTAGGGAATTCACTATAGTGAGTTCCCTATAGTGTTATAATGTTAGTTTTTGTACTCAGGTATTCTTACTTCTTAGCAATAAGACGACTGGTTTATATTCATTGGAACAGCTGCTGAAAACTGCCATGCGTGAAAAAAAAATAGTATCTAGTGCATCGTTAATAATAGCTCCCACAAATAAAAGACTGAATATTTACCCTCCAGATGCAATAAGTATGTGCAAATACAGCAGTAAGAACACATCGAACAATATATTAATTAGAAAAAATGCCTTTATTATGTTTGGTCATCAAAGAA